GTCTAATGGTAGCTGATTTTACTTTCCATCTTTTCTGGACAATTGGATTGTCCTGATAATAGACTAAGAAGTCTTTCTGGCCTCTTATTCTTCATAACTTTCCATGGGGCCAAAGAAGATGCCTTCTACTATTAGAAGATATAAAATAAATCCACACTGGAAATTTTATCCTTTCTCTGACAGAACTTAAATCTGAGATCAACTTGAAGCCATACACTGTAACAGAGTCTTTTGTAATGTGGTAGTTACTATTTCTATTTGTATGTTCAATAATCTTGGCAATAGAGCTATTGACTTAGCTTTCCAACTCCTCCTCTGTGCTGAAAATTCTACACTGGGAGTAGTGATGATTTAGTTGTCCTTCAGAAAAGTCTCTTTTCTGGCTAATGTACAGAGCATCTTGCTTTGGCATGCTTGCTTATTTAAGAATCATCATCTAGAGAAAGAGTTCCTAATAACCACCTCAACAATTTTAAAATATGATTGTAACTTGTTCACTTATAGGCCTTTCTAAAGGACAAAAATACATCTGATTAGGTCAACAAGCCTAGTCAACAAATCTCAACCTTGATATGAAATTTCATTTTCTTACTTTGGAGAATGGTAAAGTGATATTTGTTTTGAGTTTTGTCTTACTATATTTTATATTATAGAAGACTACATATGGTAAGCCTCCTGAAGAACTTTCCTCACAGGTTTTATTTAAGGCTATGCATATTGTCCATTGTATATCACTTGTCCGAAATCTAACCCTTTGGCTTTAGCTTCCTCTACTTAGCCTATGTGCTACCATCTCATTCATAGACATAACACTACTTGATTCTCCTCCAATATACGATTCAAGTTCACGTTTACTGGTTTCTTGTTATAAGATGGCTACTATTTTAATTATATGTATCAACTCAACCTTCGCAACAAGCCTGTGATTTAGGCAATAATATTATTTCCACCTTCTGCAAAAGAAGTTGAGATTAAGCAATTTCACATCTACCAAATGAAGAAGCGAGGGTTCAAATTAAGAACTCTTGCGTTCCAAGGCAGTAAGCAACTACTTTCCATCACCCCAAGCAGACTCTTTCAGGTGGCAAATCTATAATTCTTCAGTCAAAAGAGTGTATGTTTTCTGGAATGATATAATTTGGAGACCCGGAAATTAACCAGCTGACCTGGTCCCCACTGTTTAAATAATTTTTATGCTTGTTTCTCTGCTTCTTGGATTTGTTACTCTGTTATTTTTCCTCATTATAGGAATTGCTATTTCAGTTTAAGTGCTGTTTGATTTGGAAACCATTCTCATGACTAAATATTTGTTTGCCTGGTAAGAGCTTAGGGTAGCACACTGCTGCCAGTGGGTGCTCAATAAAGATTAATGGATGGCCATGCACGCCTGTGTAGGAGTGGTGTGCTAAGAACCTGCTCAGATCTTCGAAAGTGACCGGACATCCCCCCTCACCACACACAAAACAACAATGTGGGGGGAAAAAATCACAGGACTGCCACTGAAACCTGGTCTTGGGTTTCCAGATTAAATTGTATCAAGTGAATGATCCCCAAGGCTGAAATACAAGAATGGGGAGTTTTTCTTTACTTTTCTTTTTCTTTTTTTTTTTGAAAGAAATCGTTGAGAGATATGCTGTCAAAATGAGATTCCAGGGTTTTTTCCAAGATGAATATCAAATATGAGAGAAAACTTGCTTCTCTGATGAGGAATGCAGAGAACCAAATATTTTTTAATTGACACATTTTTCTATTATTATATACATGTAAAGAGGATGAGTAATATGCCATATCAGATGGTTTATTCAAACTGTCAGAACAAGAGCTGAAGCATGAGTAACTCTCCAAGGAACCTTCTGTGAAATTTGAGCAATAGAAAATGACAGTAAGCCATCATATGTTCATTTACTACCATGACATGGGTGAAAATCTTGGGGACCAAAAAAGTCTTGGTGGAATATTTTCTAGAGGAGAGGAAATAGACCAATAGCTTAAACCCATTGGACTCAAAGCCCAGTGTCCACGCACTACCTAGCTCTCTGCCTCAACCTCCTCATTGGCAACCATTCCAATTCTCACATTTGCATGTCTTTCTTGAGAAGGCCTTTTCCTAAGAAGGTGGACCTTGAAGCATTTGATGAGAATTTATTTATGTAACTCTACCCTTAAAAATACATTTTCAGAATCTTCTCCTCGAACTTCCCTTAGTGAAAATGGGAACCTTATGAATTTGGATAATTCAGTATGACAGAGAAGAGTCTATTCAACTGGCTACATTACCTTCCAAGGCTTGCACCATACGAAACCATGTTCTCCTGCACAAAGAAACAGGCCTTTTGAGAAAGTGTGTTAGGAACACAGATAGGATAGGCCAGGAGAGATCCTACTTTATGTTTGCTGATTCAAAATGTGAAGCTAAGGTAGCTCATGCAAACAAAGATATTTACAGAGCCCTAAGTATAATGAGGTTCGGGTATAGGTGCTCATTTATAAAGTCCTTATCCATGAATAGAGGTTAAAGGTGGAGAAGGGCTATTTTCCAGTAGCAAGAAGTGGGTCTGTATCAACATCCAGGTGGATAGATGGATAATGGGACCATTGCTGAGCTGCCCAGCAATGCCTTAGTGCCAACTTTCTCTCTCTCTCTCTCTCTGGGAAATAGCTTAAGAGGCCAGCAGTGAACCATTCCATCAAGGAGTCTTTGTTTCCTTCTGTCTGCTTGCTCATTTGACCTGAAGTCAGAGAAGGAAAGAAAGAACCCTAACTGGTGGGCTGAGGCAGTGTGGACAGGCTGAGGGGGTGGGTAGAGGAAGCTGGAAGAGATATTCATGTTGTGGAGACTACTACGAGCAGTGCGAGATCACAGGCTGCAGAGGTCACCAGGGACGTGACTGTTTGCTTGTTGAAGTCTTCTTTTTGTTCTTGCCTCTCCTTTCTGAAGCTCACTCTCATGCAATAAGTAACCCTCTTGCCAGCCATCAATCCCGTATTGACAAGCAAATGCCGCCAGCCTTTGATTGACACCCCTTGCTCGGGAATGCAGAAGTATGGTTCAGGAATGGTATTTCTCCTTATTTCTTTAAAGCCATTCTCAGGCGGGCCTGGCGTATCTGTTGGTGGCATAACTCGCCTAAGGTCTACTCTGGGGGCTCTGCTAATATTCTCAAGCCAAGCTCTTGCTCCTCCTTCTCTCCTGTCGTCCTATTTTTCCAGTTTCCTGTCCCTCAGTGCACTTGTGGGAGGGCCATGATGGCGCCAAGTTAACTCTTTCTGTATCTCAGACAACAGGCCTTGCCTAGCACTTGGGTAAATGCTACTTGCCTTACTTTTAACACTTGAACTGAAGGCATTCTGACCAGTGATGGTTTCCTGCAACCTCAAGTCCTATGACAGTATCCTCTGAACCACCGTAAGCTTGGGGGTCAACTGACTGCTTATGAATCCTAGAGCCATTGTTCAGCCCTTATTTAAAAAAAAAAAAGTCAGTCCTTCTCCCTTTATTTGGTGGACATGTTCATTTAAAAATCACCCGGAAACAAACAAACAACAACAACAAAAAACGCCCTTTGGGTTTTAAATACACCTTACTGTTCTCAAGGTAACAAACATCTTCATTTCGAAGGCTGGGAAGGGGAAAAAAAAATCTTAAGGTTAAAAAAAAATCGCATGTACCATCTGGAAAACTCTAAAGGGCTCTCTTTATGTTAAAAGTGGCATTTGGGGGGAGAGGAGGGGGAAGGGGAGGAAGCCGAAACACCTGAAGCACGGATGGTAGGACAATCCAGCAAAGAAAACAGATCCAGCCAGCTTCCTTTCAACTTTCGCCCCCCCAACCCCCCCCCCCCGCATCCCGCAATCAGGGGCTTCTCACACCGCGGGGGGGGGGGACACACATGCAGGACCTCAGTGTGACCCAGGGAGTCTTGAGGACGGTGACCCCTCTTGTCTCTTCCCTTCCCCTCTTCCTCCCCCCTCCCCCAAGTAGGTCCAGCCTAAGGCACACAAGCCTTCGCGCTTGGGTTAAGCAAGGGAGTATTCAGCTTTTACTGTTGTTCATCCATGTGCAAAGGGTGGAGGAGGGGGGGGGGGGAGAGGAGGAGGCCGAAAAAAAAAATCCCACATTGTCAGAGTAATGCCAAACTCTCTCTGAGTGGGATGAGCAGAGCAGATGCTGCACGGAGATGCCAAAGCGGCTCCCCTTCCTCTGTGCCTCGGGTTCCTATAAATTGCTCCGGCGCGCGTTTGTCAGCCTCCTCTTCTGCTGGCAGGTGGTACCCAGGCAGGCTTCTGCCTTCAGTCTCCGCGGCGCTCGACTCCCGGCCGCCAGGCGCGCGCGCGCAGCCGATCGCTAGCTCCCCGGCTCCGGCCCTGAGCGCCGCCCGCTGCGGACACACACCGCGAACCCCGGACCCCGGCCGTCGCGTGTGCGCCCGGCACCACCACCACCACCACCGCCACCGCCGCCACCACCACCCCGCGCCATCGTAGGGGCGCGCGGGGGAGGGGAGGGCACCCCAGCCCGTGCGGGGCTTTTGGCAGGGGGGCGGGGGTGAGTGCGCTTCTATTACAGTCGTGGTGATTGCGAAAGAGCCAGAAAAAGAAGAAGAAGAAGAAGAAGAAGAAGGCAAGGGGACTGGCGAAGTCCAAGGAATGAAAAGAAGGAGGAGGCACTAAAAAAAAAAAAAAAAAAAGAAAAGAAAAAGACAACTTCGGGTGGAAAGTTGATGCGAACTGGCTCCGTCGGCAAAAACGGAAAAGTCGATCGCGGGCAGCAGCGGCGGCATAAAAGTGTGAGCGGGGCTGTCCTCTCCGCCGGCTCCGAGAGAGACTCCGAGCGAGCCACCGAGGCGGCGGCGGCAGGCCAGCCTGCGCCCTCCTCCGGGTGGCCCCCGCGCCGGTGCCCGCCCCGCGGCCGGCCGCCAGCCACAGGTGCCCAGGGGTTCGCGGCCGGGCACCCGGGCGCCCCGCGCAGCCCTCCTCCCCCCCACCTCTCCACCCCCCCTCCCGCAGCCCGCACCCCTCCAGCTCGGACTTGAGCGCCCGTCACTCGGCGCCCCAGCTCGCTCCCCAAGCCGCAGCCGCGCAGCAGGGGGGCCCGCCCGGAGGGTGCGCTCGGCCCCCAGCGGGAGTTGGGGGGTTCGGAGGGGAGGGGGAGATTGTTTTCGGCTCTGAAGAGGTCCCCACCCAACCTTCAAAATTTTGTCCAAAAGCAGACAAGAGGATCGCCCCGCGCTGAGCCGGCTGGTGGGCAGCAGGAGGCGCCTGATCGCCGCCGGGGCGCTGGGGGTGGTGATGGTGCTGCTGCTGGTGATCCTCATCCCGGTGCTGGTGAGCTCGGCCGGCACGTCGGCGCACTACGAGATGCTGGGCACCTGTCGCATGGTCTGCGACCCCTACGGGGGCACCAAGGCGCCCAGCACCGCCGCCACCCCGGACCGCGGCCTCATGCAGTCACTGCCCACCTTCATCCAGGGTCCCAAAGGCGAGGCCGGCCGGCCGGGAAAGGCAGGCCCCCGTGGGCCCCCAGGTGAGCCGGGGCCGCCGGGGCCCGTGGGACCCCCGGGCGAGAAGGGCGAGCCCGGGCGCCAGGGCCTACCCGGCCCACCCGGGACTCCGGGTCTGAACGCGGCCGGGGCCATCAGCGCGGCCACCTACAGCACGGTGCCCAAGATCGCCTTCTACGCCGGCCTCAAGCGGCAGCACGAAGGCTACGAGGTGCTCAAGTTCGACGACGTGGTCACCAACCTGGGGAACCACTACGATCCCACCACGGGCAAGTTCACCTGCTCCATCCCGGGCATCTACTTCTTCACCTACCACGTCCTGATGCGCGGCGGGGACGGCACCAGCATGTGGGCCGATCTGTGCAAAAACAACCAGGTGAGTGCGGGCGGTTGGCGGGGCGGCGGGCGGGGAGGGAGCGCGGGCAGGTGCGGGCGAGAGGGGAGGAGACCCCGGAAATAGGGGGTGGGAGCCCGCAGAGGAAGGGCGCGGCCACTCCGGCTCCCCGGAACCGCGACGGGGGAGCCCGGTGGGTTGAGCCACACTGCCCAGGTGGGGGTCGTGGAAAAGAGCACGGCGCCCCGCGGCTTGGACAGACAGAGAGAGAGAGGGTGGTGCCCCGCAGCTCAGACCCGCATTCGGTGCGCGCCCGTGGGAACGCGACCCTCGAGGGGGCGAGAAGCTCAGATCTTAGGTCCCCCCACTCCCTTCGTCCCCCAGCACCAACTTCAGTACTGGAGAAATTCCCAGAGCAAGAAAGCGCCCCGGGCCCAGGCGATCCTTAGCCACCTCGGGGCACTTGTAGACTGTTCTGGAAAGGAGAAGGCCAGAGGAGCTCTAAATGGGCGTGTCACAGAGAGAGAAACTTGTGGGGGGAGATAGGCTCGGGCTGGAGGGAGAAAGGGGACCCATGGGAGAGAGTCCGGGGCTCATCCTGGATGGAAATGGGACTGTGTAGGTTTGGGGGCGCACAGGGACTCTGGGGCGCACAGGGACTCTGGGGGCAGGGGGGGTGTCATCCCGGGCGGTGAAACTCACACTCTAGTCCATTTAAGACTACAATTTACTTTTCAGAGGGAATTTAAAAAAAAAATGGTAAGAAGCAAGGATTATGAGGAAATGGTGAGCCTCTGGGGTTTCCATCGCAAAAACTCAAACCACACATGCCTAGACACTGCACCCACAGTGTTCTAACTAAAGGAGAAAGCGCACGGGCAGGTGCCACGGGAGAGCTCCGTTGGGTGGGTTGGATTGTGGTCATGGATCCCCAAGGCACAAGGAAGTCCTTTTGGCCTTGACTGTTTAAAACAACCACCACCACCACCACCCTCAGATGAGCCCCTGGCCAGGAGAACTTGCTCTCTCGAGCTAGTCAGAGGGCTCGGGGGTCTATAATGCCTTGTTAAGGTGTCTTTACTGTTTGCTTGGAAATTCACTGCAAAAACCGAAGCATCTTTGATCTGTTGGTCAGAGGAGGAAAATTATGTTTGTAACTATTTGAAAGTGTAAATCAACAGGCCCTGGGGCAAGGCCTTGTATGCGAAAGCCTGCGGGGGTTCTGGGTTAAGTCCCCAGGATTGAAGGTTGCTTGTTGAGAGCAACACACAAAAAGCCCCCATGGCCTCAAAAGGCCTCACCCCGTGCAGCAACTGTGATTTAACCAGGGCTGTTGGCTTCCAGGGGTCACTGCCCCTGTGCAAATTCAAACCTTCTTAGCCAAACCTCATTTTTTTTTTTTAAATTAAGGATCATAAAAGCAAGATTTCTTCCCAAGACCTAATTCGGTGTCAGAATTTCACTTCTCAAAGTGAAAGATAAATGTCCCACATTTATGAGAGACTTTATTTTTTATTTAAGCCCACAAAATAGCTTTCCTACAAATAGCTTTAAGGACCCTCAAGACTCATAGAACTAAAAGGAAAGATGGCCACCAGGAGGTACTGACAGGGTTGTTAATTATCGTTATTATGCACGAATGTAATATTAAAAGAAATCAAAACTATTCACAGAGTAAGGATATACTTATAGGTAAATGGTGATAAAGGGCATGACTCACTGTACCGAAATAGAGTCATTGTGTCACCCTAACATGGTTTATGCACAGCCCCTCAGCAGGCAGGCCTGAGGCACCCCCTTATTTACAAATTGGCTCTCTACTGACACAAAAGCTAGGTTTGGAAAACACAATTATGCTGAATTGGTCTTTCTTTTAGAAGTATCAATTAAAACGAATTAAGATTCCACTTTTACCAACAGGTACAAAAAGGGTCATTATTTTTGAACTCTCTGGAAATCGCAATTGGATGAAAAATCAGGAAATAAGAGGATTAAATTAGTTGAAATGCTGACGTCTAGACTTAGAGCTTGCATGTGGTACACTGATACGGAGAATCACATTCTGTATAGGAATTCTGTGTGTGTTTTATTGCAAAATCATTTCATTGTTTGGGGTGTAGAAGGCTCCTTTGTATCAGTCCTGCATATGAATCCTATAACCATGATCAGGGCAAGACAAATTGTTGGCCTATAATTTACAATTTTATTACCAATATTAGGCTGCTGCTTCTACAAAAAGGTATGCAACAGGTAATTCAGAAAAAGTGAATTAATGCTGGTAAACAATGGTTGTTGTTTTTTTTTGAGTGTAAGTGTGTGTTCTTTTAGAAAATGGCTATTGCAATGTTACTGTTAAGGAAATTCATCTCCAGAAATATTTCATAAAGTGTGAGCTGCAGCCAGTTACAAGTGGGAAATCTTGTAAAAAATCTCTTTTTATTAATTCTAAATAAATACCTTATCCTTGATTTTCAATTATATTCAGGTCTGATCACTTCTTTGAATGGCAGGTCCTCCCTCTGAGCTGACCTAATTTGTTTTCATAAAAAAGAAACTCAGAGATCTATGTCAGTGTAATGTTCTATGGATTAAGAAGATTTTTGAGAAGCCCAAGAATTAAACAAAATGAAATGCAGCTGATGAGGGGAGAGAGCAATGCCTCTGGGCTGTAACCAGATGAAAGATTTTATTTATGCTTGGTATTGAATCTAGGATCACAGATGGAAACGTCAGAGACCAGTAAATTAACCTGATGTGCCACTTAACCTTTTGTTTATGATTCCACAGAAGTACAATGAAAATGAAATTATGAGAACATCAGTGGCAATTAATTGAATTAGCAAATGTTACCATAAATATTGTCGCTAATGATAAACCCTCAATAATTAGATGATGCTGAAACTATACAACCTATCCTATTGTCACAAACATGCCACTAAAAGGATCGTGGCTCTTGAATTCCTTGGGAAACCATCAACCTAAATTCATTCTTGGCATTTGTTGAAAGTGCATGATTTTATATATATTTATATATATATAAATTGGTCTCAAATAGCTTTACATAAATACAGGAAAAATCTAAATGTCTTTATACTTACACATGGAAACTTGACAAATATCACCTGAAAACAATTACGACCATGCTACTATAATAAACCACTATAATCCAAACTACACTGGCTTAGAACCATAAAATAATCAAAGACTAATTCTTTGCTTTTAAAAATGAAGGACTTATGGCTCCATGAGCATGAACTACACTGGCAAGAAAGAATAAGGTGGTGGCTTGATATTCATTTATTAAAGAGATTAATGACATGTCAAATGAACACTCTTTTTCAGAGAATGAAACCTGGGCTAAGGATAAAATAGAATCATATCAGGAAAGATAGTAAAGCAAATTGTGGTAGAAATAAGTATATTGGGGTGAGGAAAAGGTGCAATGTATTCTCTGACAAAAATGCAGAAATCAGTATACATTTAGGAAACTGCAACTAGCCTCTTCTACATTACCTCCCTGAAGAGCTTGATGGACTTAAAGGAAGAATTACTGAAGTCAATGACTTAGGTCCTGGTGCTTGAAATTTCAGGTTCCCTTATCCCATTAGAGTGTGATCAGGTGGGCAAGGATGCTCAAATCATGATACTGAAGGATGGCAATTATTTAATTGGAAAAATCTTATGGTACCATATAGGTTAAAGTCATAGAGAATTATCTTTCATTGTAAAGCAATCTCATTGCCTTTCCCTAACAAAGGAAGTAAAAAGCTTAGACTGGAATCATTCTAATGCATTTGCAGGGTTTTGTGTTACACCTAATGAATTAGTTTAGTGGCCCTACCCTACAGAATAAAAAGTACATTATATTGTTAAGAGAAGTTATCTCTCAACCAAATGATTTACTGTGTTCTTGTTCCCAAATACCTTCGTGCAGAAAACAATGATAACCATAGTATATACACTGAATACCCAAAGCACTGAATGAGTGTCTGGTTATTAATAATAGCTGTGAAGTATACTATGTTTGAAAATTAATTAACATATTACTGAGGTAGCTAATTGCAATTTTGTATTTTAATTTTTCTCATCCATTAAAAATTCACATGCTCCAAAAATTAAGTCATAATTATAATATTCTTCTTGTAAAGAGAATTTTCCCTGGGAATTAATGGCTAGATAAAAATTAACAAATCAAAGCATTTGGCTTCTACAAACTGGTAATTAATTCCTAGGAAATATTATGAAGTTCAAATATATTATTATTGAAGGGTCAAAACAGATCATCTCACTATTGGTATGTACATTGAAGTCAATGCTTCTAAGTATGATTACATGGCATATTACTTTCATTGTATTAGTGCCAGTTCTCACAGCATTAAGCAATTCTAAATCCTTTAAGCCCTTGTCTCCTTTTGTTATACGATACCCAGAAAGAAATATTTAAAATACTACTCAAATTACTTTCCAAGTTCAGCAGTGCCAAAGAGCCTTCTCCTTTTTTAACCTTTCAGCATTAATGTGAGAACATGTCATCACATGAAAATTTAATTGGAAAACCTATCATTTAAAATTTGAAATTCAGGGGAAATTCTTGACTTATGTCTCAGTTCTTTCATTTTGTCAAGTGATAAAATCCAGCATATTGTACCCCAAGTCATGCATTATTACATGCTGCAGCTTTACAAAACCACTAAATCACTCTCTGTGTTATTCAGGGAAATATCATTATCGTGGAATAGAAAACAAGCCACAAAGTAGAAGATGTGTTACTGAAATAAATCAGATACAAGCCTGCCTATTGAAAGATTTTCCAAGGCAGTATCAAAATATGTCTAAATGAATATGAAGCCTAATTTGAGAATGTGACAGAATGTCCACATTACGGGATATGATAGGCCATTTGACTGCTTGCAAATGTTTATCAACTCAGAAATGAGACCACAAGCATAAGCAGATTCTATGCAGTTTCCATACTCAAAGCAAACCACATGTTTAGAATATCCCAAACAGAGAGGATGTTCAGTGAAATCATTCAAAAATTCTAGACTCCCACCACAGAGATTTAGTTTTCTCTGTAACTTGAGGATCTGCTGAAAATAGATTGTCGATCTAAATGCACATATAATTAAAGGGTGAACAGGCATAAATGGAAGAAAAGAACTCTGAAAACATGGGTGAGAAAACCGAAGATGTTAAAATGAGTTATGCAGTTGAAGTAGAGTGCTAACAGGGGCTTTGCTTCTATTAGATTTCAAAAGCCCTAAATCAAAGGGCTTTCTTCCGTTTTTTGTTTTTTTTTCTTCCTATGTTGTAGCAGAGTGGTATTTCCCTGGGTCTTTGGCTACTTGAGATCTTGATTTTCTTGTTATAAGCAACTGAAGTTAGACCTGAACTTCTGTACTCATATACAGATGGCTAGAATATTGTAATTTGGCTTAAATTAAAGATGCAAAACATTGGGATGATTTCCATACCATGAAGTGAATAGGAATTCAAGGAATTAAACAAAGTAGTTATGCAGAAAGAGATGAAATTACTTTGTTTGTAGTGCTACTTATAAAAGACAGTTGAACAGTCCTCACGAAAGCACTTTGCTTCCTTCTTTTCCTCTTTTCCGATAACAGAGATGGAATTGTTACAGCTCCTTATAGAGCTGGGAGGTCAGGCAGACATCTGTATACTACATTTGGTGTTATGGCAGCAAGTTGACTATATCTGAATGGCTAAAAGGAAAACTTGAGACTTTTCTTTCCTGCACTCTAATGTTTGTCTGTTTCACATAGGTCCGTGCTAGCGCAATTGCCCAAGATGCTGATCAGAATTACGACTATGCCAGTAACAGTGTGGTTCTTCATCTGGAGCCTGGAGATGAAGTCTATATCAAATTAGATGGTGGGAAAGCCCACGGAGGAAACAACAACAAATACAGCACGTTTTCTGGATTTATTATTTATGCTGACTGATCGTGCAGAAACTAAGCCTATTGTTCTGAGTCTGAACTCTGGATTTGGATGGCTAACGTCAGTGAATCGATTGATCGAAGGCACCTCAGTTGTGTATAGGAGGGGAAATCCAATGCTACCTGACTCACATCTGTATCCCTCGGAAACATTATGTAAAAAAAATATATATTTAAAGCAAGATAAGCAGATGTGTGATCCACTACCGCCAAAGCAAATACTCCTTATTGTTAGTGTCCATGTGAATGAAGTCCTATAGAGATCACAAATTTTTATAGAAAAATCTAAGAGACTGAATTATTTCTTCAATATATACGATCCTTTGGTGTACTGTGATCTTGCTGCTTTATCCATATGTCAGCTTTGGTTCTTGTGAGTTTACTTGCTTATTATGATATTTGGAGTCTATACATAGTGTGGGGAAAAAATCATTTTACCCTGCAGGAGAAGGAGGAGGAGGTCTAATTGAAGTAATGCTGCTTGTCCCCAAAGAAATTGTTTGCCTTGTTTTCTTGTTAACTTTAGAGCTAGACCTGGAAATGATTCAACTTCAAGCCTTAACCTGGAATTTTCTAGATATGTGGGAATTCCCAAGCCTATGATCATTTTCACATTTTCCTTTTCTTCCATGAATTTTCCTTTTCTTACTCTTTCTCTCTTATGGTGATAGTCTTTAAAAATAGTGGTTGAATTTTTACCATAGGATTACCCCTCTCTTTGTGAGAAAATGTCTGTTTATGGATGGTATTTAGAAAACCCTCTGTATGTCCAGTTTTGTCAGTAGACTACATTTAGATTTACTTGGGAAGTCAGAGAAATTTCTTCTTTGGTATTGAACCAGACTGAGGTTTTTGCATTCTTTGGAATGGAATATTATTCATGACCCATTGATTGGATCTACTGCATGTGTCACAGAGGGGACACTCAGTAAGGCCCTCAAATAGTGGTGATTTCACAACAAACAATTTTACCTATAACCAACATGACAAAGTGTATATATTTTATATAGATACCTGACATACACATATACACACATATTTATATAACTATATGTTACATAAAATATTAGAGAGATGGGTTCAGTCCATGAAGTACAGTGTCTTATAGAGCCTCAAAATTTAATTTAAATAGTAGAAAGGATATGTGTGTATATGTGTATACATATATATGTATATGTATATACACAAACATATACACATAGAGAAACCTGCACAAGCTATTTGACTTATTTTGGATTGAAATATATTTTAGATGACAAAAATATATATGGACTAGCAACATAGTAAAACACTTCTCTTTAAAACTTATCCAGAAGATTAAATGTCAATAGATTAAAGCGCCCTGTGTTTCACATGTACAGAGGTTAGCTCTATGGGTTTTTTATTTGCTCATCAATACTTTAACTACACTTTCTGGATGACTGGTAATATCAGAAGTGTGGAGACAAACTAGCTCTCTTTCACTATGGAATTACATGCATTGGGGTTGTCAATTTTTGTCTTCTGTTTCAAGTGGATGGAAGCAGGCAGTAGATTTTTTTAGGGTAGTGCCAATCCTTTCTCTCTATTAAGACACACTGCCAAAAGTCATCTCTTTAATTTATGGAAAGTATTAAAATGCATGTTGAGCCATCCAAACAATCACACAACTTCCACCATGACAGTGAAAACATCCATTCCCCTTTCAGTTGCCTTTGAAGACTTTCTGACAAGATTTCAAAAACAGGGATTTAAAAGTCTGCTTGTTTTATTGGTGAAGGACATTTGCATTTTTTTCATTTAAAGGAATTGATTTGTAGTCCTGGCTCATTCCACTTTGGTACTTTTTGTTCTAATCCACAGAAAGCGTGAGCATCTTTGATCAGCCGAAATATCTTTAATTTAGCAAACTTCGACTTTACAAGAGTTATGCATGATGTTCCAGTCCAAAGGTGGTGTTTGCTCTTCTGTTTCAATGCCATGGTCTGGCATTGAACTGGCATAGTATAGAATAAAAACCACCTAGCCAAGAATAATGACTAGTACTACTTAGTCTTTCTGATAACTCACAAATGAACTGTAATAGTCCTAATTTCTGTTTAGCAACTGATATTTGTCAAAAAAGAATTGGCAGTAAGGGAATTTTTGTGATGTCTTGAGTTGTCCAATATCACAGGGAGGAGTCAATCAAAAGATTTATAGACAGCAATGAATAGGATTAAAAGTTTTAACTTTTTTTAAAGCATTACTTACAAACAATATCAGGGCTGGATATCTTTTTAAAGAGTAGGCTTTAGAATCGAACTGTCATTTCCAATAGATTTGATTTATTCTTTAGACAAATAAGCATTATTTTCTCTACTTAGGCCCGAGGGAGAGAAATAATAAATAAAAAGTAAAGGAAAGAAGGGGAATATACTATATTATATATATATATATGGCAAACATTTCTCTTTTTTTGCATTATATCTTAAGATTAATTAAATTGTGGCCTTTGTTATTATAATTGTAATGGTTCATTAAACTATATTATGTAATATATTATGACTTTTATGATTGAATTTTTATAATTCAGGATTGCTGTGTGTTCTTATACAAACTTTGTAAAACACAACAAAATTTACAGCAAAATGGATATCAGAAAGCCAATGCTATCAAAACTGATTTACTGCAAGCATTTAGAGATGGGTGGAGATCATATAATTAGCCTACCAAAATAATTTTATGGTTGCAAATGGGTAATTAAATAACAGTATCCTTGCTCCAAAAAAAAAAAGGCTTAAATTTTAACTTCCCTTGCTGCAAAAGCTATTTCAATATGCCATATTATGCATTAAGCATTAATTAAAGAACAGCAGGATAATTAGTAGGATCATCAATATTACAAGAAACATTAGATTGCTCCAGAAGGAGGCAATTTAACTAGAAACACTTTAAATTTTCTTAAGTAGTGTAGCTGATCGGTTAGAAAAATAGCAAAACAAACTAACAGAAAAGGCAACTCTTAGGAGATAATAGACTTTAAATCATTGTTGGGGGAATATGCACTTCATATTTATTTTAAGGCACAACAAAAGGGCTCACATAGGCTCAGGAACTTCTCAGAGGCACAAATGTAATAGCGACTCCGATTCAGAGAAGGCAAGCTCTTCTACTGCTCTAGCGAAGGAAACAGCCATTTGTGTCTAAGAGACAATGGGTTTGAAATCATTTTACAATTTCCTGCAAGTTTTACAAAGAAGGTGTAAGTTCCGGAACCACCAGCTTACTTGAAAGTTAGCCACTGCTTAGGGTTTTCTATTAGTATCTTGTCAAGTACATGCTCACTTATTCCTCTAAGTAACATTTTAGGAACAATGTTGGTGAGTATGTGAGAATAGCCGTGACCCCCATATTTCATCAGGCGATGCTTCGTATGGATGTCGTGTGCCATCAGAATTCGATCTTCATATCCCTCATCCACCAGGAAACGTACCCTGTAAAAAAAAAAAAAGAAAAGAAAAGTTAACTCTTTACATGCCATTCGTCACCTCACTTTGTAGCTTTTTAGGACTCTTTAAAAAAAACTTTTTACTCATATGAATCTATTGTGCTCGTCGTAAACGTATTGCCCTTCACTGTGGCTTGTGTACTGGCAGATCCTTAATAAATATTGTGTGGAGATGATGATGATGATGATGATGATGATGATGAATTGCTGTATCCTATTAGGAATGACATCCTGTCCCACGTCCATGGAAAGCTATAGCCCATGGTGTTTATGACAACACCTAGCAATGTTGCATGAAAGGTAGCTTCCCCCAGTTGTACCAGTTCTAATGACTGACCACTGATTTATCAGTTCACTAAACAACTTTGTCTTCTGCTCTACTCTTTAAAACACTACTTTACTCTTTAAAACACTTCTCTTAGCAGGCTTAGTGGATGGAGATTTCATTCTCACCTTCTCTTTTCATTTAGAAAATAAAATCAGTAGGAGTATGAATTAAGAAAGGGAAAAAGCCAGGGGTGGTGATGTAATCCTACTACTCAGGAGGCAGATACAGGAGGATCTGGACTACCAGCCTGGACTATATCCTGAGACCTTATCTCAACCCCCTGACAGCTCCACACAAGGACAAAAAAGTCATCTTCATACCAACAATACACTCAAGAGTAACATCAGCTGCCTTACTAAAGTGAGGCCTATGAAACTCAGCCAATAAGAATAGGTTGGCAAAGGTACTTTTCTGTGTTTGAGACATTTAGTTCTCTGAAATCTATGGGAATGTTGACTTAGTAGTAATCTTTAAACAGTAGATTAAGTTGGCTAGAAAATCTTTCTCTATATTCCTTCTTATCAACGAGACAGCTAGAACAATGAGCTGTACCTTTAAATTTATAGTTGGTTGATTAAAGAGCAGCTGCCTGACCAAAAGTATAATCCTCTTTGCTTGGTGCTTTGCTTAAGTGCTATAATCTGCAGAGTGAGTCACCTTCTGACAGCCACCATCTGTATGTATCTGCACTATGAGCAGTGTCCTTCTTTACTTCCATGCTCTCTGATGGCAGAGATGCAACTTGCAAACAAGAGCTCACCACTGAAATTCTTGTTATCACCCTGGGAAGCATCTAGGCTGCAAATGGATATGGGTGGATGGATAGGGCCTTCCTCTAGGGGCTGAGCACTTGAAAGAGACACATTTTATTTCAATGGATAACATTTCTTGGCATGCCTGGGCATCAGAGTCTTCTTTATTAATGGTAAGGAAAATGTGGGTCACTACACACAAAACTCAAGCACCAAGTTTACCCTCTGAGAGCATATGGATTTAAATATTATTAAATGAAGGTCACCTCTGATATTTAGAGGTCAAAGGAATGTTAGAGCTAGAACAACCTGGGTGCTTTGACTAGAAACGGATGTTCATGCCACATGGACCTCATATCTGTCCTCTAAGAGTATAAAATGCCATTTGTACCATCAAGGTCATTTAGCTTGTTGAAATTTGTTCTAAAGTGATGATCCGCACCCACTTTTGGACAAACTCTATTTAAACAGGAATTTATCTAAGAGACTGATAGGATCATTTATGAAAAAGGTAAGATTTGACAGAATGTATACATAATGCTGAACCTAGTATGACATTTTGACCTGTAACTGCATTCAGGGACAGTATAGACAGGTTTAATTCATCCTTTCTCCTAATACTTAGTAACATTTGTGCCAGAGTTCAGATCCCTTTTCCTTATCTGAGATCAGGCTATCTCAGATGGCATATCTATGGATAAACAAACTCCTGCAAGATGCCTTTTTTTTTTAACACCTGGAAATACTAGCTCCATTTGGAAGCTAGTAAGGAAAGAATGTGGGAGATAAAATACTCTTATTTCCAAATGGGAATGCTTACAGCTCATTAAGTCAAGGATCTGGAGACTAGTTTCTCCTGAGCAAGATGCTATCATAGCTCTAGAAACACAATGATATCCAGACTCTCAAGGAAACCTGCTTGGCCAGGCCTGAGCTAAGACATCGGCTCTCTTGCTGTGTCTCTGTGTGCAAGAACAGGAGTTACAGAGATGCCGCCAGAAGGGAAGAACCACTACAGATGAGAAGACAAAAAATCACAGTAATTATAGCCATACAAATGAGTTCGTGTTTTGCAAACAAATATTAGAGAGAGACTACAAAGTGTGAAAAGGCAGAGATATAATAAGATTTGAGAAATGGAGCATAAGATTGAAAACAGGTGTTAGACACAGAATTTCTGGTGCCGAAAACCAGAGGTAGGCAGAAGCAAGTTTCTATGCTCTTTCACTTCAGGAGTTCCAGACTAGTATAGCTAAAAAAGGACTGTAGATGAATGATGAACATCAAGCTTTCAAGACTCGGGGACAATGGGACACTGGAGCACACGCAGCCCCCACGATCATTCAGATATGAACCTGAACTTGACTGGGGTGAAGTGACTCTCCATGGCTTCCATTCATTGAAGGTAAGGGCTGGGGTGTGGAATATGTGGTAGAACACCTGCCCAACAAGCATAAGGGTGATGAATTCAAATCCCAGTATTGCCTGCAATAAATAAATAAGTTAAGCACACACACACACAAGCATGTATGTATATGTAGTTTAGAACGTATACGCATGCACGTTTGTGGTATATGCATGTTCCTGTGTGTATGTATATTCTTCTGTCTGAAATTGTGACACACTTTCATACTTGGGGAAGGTTTACATTTGGCATAAGAAGAGATAACCAAAATTAAATTCCTGTCCTTGAACTAATAGCCAAAAGGAGCTGCGAACTGAGCAGGAATGCTTGGGAAACCATCTTCCTCTCATACATCCTTCATAGACAGATAGATAATCCATTTACAGATCTTCTTCTAGAAGGTACAGGCCCCTCAGAGAAGGCACCGTGGTGCAAAGGTACATCGGTATTACCACAAAGAGTGGCAGGAAAAGGTACCAGGTCCTGATGTATCAGCTTCCTATTTCTAAGATGAGTTGCACAAAATGTTAAGAGAATCCATGATGAGAGATAAGAACAACCTACCACTCCAGCTATTTTAAATTCCAGAATATGTAGGATGAGGAATATTCATTTTGGAATGTGGCACTAATGAGTATGAGTCTAGGGAAACATGAGTCTAGGAAACATAATGGTGTTCCTGAAGAGAAAAATTAAAATCACAAGACATCAAAAGAAAACAACACATCTCTTTGTCAAAAAGTGGGTCTGGGTAGTTGAGAAAAAGACCTCACTTTCCATTGGCCAAGACAATCAAAGCAGTTTGCTCATGTAGACTGGATGCTACCTTATGTAATTAGAGGAAGTATTTACCAACTAGTTGATATGAAACTGGAAGCCTATTTTATGGTTTCTCAGATCACTGACAGGAATGCCAACATACAAGGGCCCTAGAGAGCATAGATATGCAAAGACCAGTTTCCTAGGGGAGCAATCCTAAAATACTGCGAATGATCACTGGCTCAGGATACTGCTCACAACATCTGGATGCTGCACTATCCATACCTGAGGCTCACCATTGTCACCTCATGTAGACGCACACCTCCATTCTCGTTTTGCTTATTCTCCATGTCAATCAGATTTTCCACATTCTTGTCTTCATGAGAAATCTAAATGTTCAGTTTTCCTCTCTGACCGCTTCACCTCTTTCTGCTTTAGCTCACTCACCCTCTTCCACTGTATCTATTAACCCCTTCATGAACCTTAACCACCTCATGAACCACTCCTGTCATTTGTCCTTCTACGTCATTGCTATATAAGTGTTTTCCCCTCCATCTCAGACTCAGGGCCTCATGTCTCAATCCTTTGTTCTTTCGGCTTCCACTTGCAACTTTCTGATAGAATCCACAAAGCTTCACTAGTCCTGCTATGGCAGCTCTCAACGTTTTTCTTTTCTGGAAAACAATAACTGAATCACATGCACTAGTGGCAACATACAGTTGTGCAATCATAATTTCCAGTTTCACTGGGCTTCATATTCCTGTCTAAGCCAGTGCCTCCCTGATCCACCTCTCTGCTACTTCTATGGAAGTCCTCCATGGAACCCACTCCTTCCTTCTCAGGTCATGATCCTGTCTGCCTTATGGGACACAAGAAAACACACTGGCAGTGTAGCTTCCATTTCCTGATCCTCTAGCTGCGATGTTTATCTGCATGGACATCATTGCTGGCTTCCTACTGTTCCGTTTCAATGGAGAAAGTAACTTTTCAACCAACTTTCTGTTTGTTCCCAAGATTCCATCTTTTTGGTACCTTTAGGAATCTTGATCTTTATTTATCTCTTCAGATATTTTAAAGTGAATATCTATCAAACACTTCCATATTCTGCAGTGTATTTTGTTTCTATACTTTATAAACTTGATAAATACTCTACGGAATGGCAGGCCTTTCTCAATCACTGTCTCTGTGTCTCCCAATTCTTTTCTTGTTTTTTTTTTGTTTTGTTTTGTTTTGTTTTTGGTTGGTTGTGGGGCTTGAATTCTGGACCTGGGTGCTGTCCCAGAGCTCTTCAGCTTAAGGCTAGTGCTCTACCACCTGAGCCACAGTGCCACTTCTGGTTTTCTGGTGGTTAATTGGAGCTAAGAGTCTCATGGATTTTTCTGCCAGGGCTGGCTTTGAACCATGATCCTCAGCTATCAGCCTCCTGAATAGCTAGGATTACAGGCGTGAGCCACCAGCGCCAGGCTCTCAATTCTTATTCTTTGATACTTCAAAGAATACTAGCAAAAGTTTCCCTCAATCCTGTCTTGTCATCTAGCTTCATCCTCCCCTCCCCTCTTCTTTCTACTACTGAACTTTTGGAAGCAGTAATCTCCCCATTCTTTCCCTCCTTCCTCACCTCCTACTCATTCCTCAAGCCTTTTCTACTGAAACCACATACTGACAGAAACGAGAGACTTCGAATTGCGAAACCTGATGGATATTTTCCAGTATTGAGCTCATTTGCTATCTACCACACATTTTGTAAATGTTCAAACATTTTCCTTTCATCGTCTCTCTCCTCTAACTTCTGAATCCTGCTCCCCCCCCCCCACCGATATTATCAGTTTGAATTTTTTTCCTCCATCTGTCATTAAGCGGTTCTCCCCTTCAAAAGTCTGTGTGCAGGCCTCGGTCCCCAGCCTTTCCTCTCTACGATCCCATTCATTGCAATGGCTCCTTCTATCTATCATATGTACATGAACAACATCCATATTTATGTCTCACTCCAAACCTCTGTAAGTTACACACACTCATCTCAGGTCCTCTCTAGATAAATGAGATACTTGTAAGTTAAAATCTTCCTTGTTTAGCTCAAATAGATTTCTCCTGACGGATCCCTTATCTTAGTTCATTTACTCTTCCTATCACCATGTCATGAAGACCAAATCTGGTAGCCATCCTTGACTGCTCAAATCTTCTCCACCTCACTGCAAAAATGGGTCCTACAATATTGTTTTGCCCATTACACACTAGGCAATTTGGGGAGGTTGCATTTTATATGATGTTACATTTCAGCATGTGAGTTGAAATTTTCCCAATAATGAGTATTTTTAATAAAGCAATTCAAGTATTAATTGTAGGAAGTTGGAAGCTTAGTGTAGTCAATCCAGGAAAGAAACAGCTTATTTCATTAAGGGCAAGAGGAGGAAAATGTCTTTTGTTCACTTATTGTCAGGGCAAGGGTTGAGTCTTGTTTCCTGTTAGTTACCCATCTGGCCCTGGAATTCTAAGGCTCTGCCTCACTTTAGCCCACTTAGGATGACTCATTCTCTCCTTGAAATAATAGAGGGAGATTTTCTCCCTGAAACAGCCCAGATATACTTTTCTCTGAAAATCTGTGGCTCAACCTGCTTACTGTTTTCTGAAGTTTTGTTAACACTCACCCAGATTTGACAATCACAAAGGGCTGGTTAAAAGAGAACATGAGGTTTTCATCTTTGTTGCTGTTGTTTTAAATGTACTTATAATGTACCATGTTTCTTTTTTGTTTCTTTTGTATGTTCTTCCCCCATGGTATAACCCCTGTTTTAACTTTATTTGATTCCAGTGCCCTGCATCTTGTATATACATTTTTTTTTTTTAATTTGGGGAGGGGAAGGGAAATAACAAAAGGCTGAAACAAGGATACAGGTTGATCCATTGTAGCAATGAGATGTACAAGACACTATGCTGAAAACAAACTTTACAACTTTTTTGGGGGGGAGGAGGGAGGAAATGAGAGGTGGGAAGAGAAGGGATGGTAGGGGAAAAACAAAGGAGGGGGTAACAATGCTCCATAGGAAATGTACTCATTACCTTACTCATGTAAGTGTAACCCCTCTGTACCGTATCTTTACAATAAAGATATATGTATATCAAAAGAGAACATGAGTCATTTCAATATAGTTACCTTCTAATCCTTTTGTTATCATCAGGCATATCGATCTCTGGGTTGAGCTGGTAATGAAGGAGTTCAGTACCAAAGAGATCATATTCTAAGTAGCAGCCAAGTTGAGCAAACTCCAGCAGCTCCTTCTTGTCAAATATAGATCTAGAGATAATAAGACAGATATACTGCTATTATTAAGAGTGTATCCTTGCCAGGTGTGGTGGTGCATGCCCCTGATTCTAGAGCTGGAGTTCAAAACCAGCCTCAGCTACACAGCTAGACCTTGTCTCAAAAGAACCAAAAATTGGGAGCAAAAAGGGGTGAATTCACCACATATGCAGATTAGAAAATTTAAATGTATCATATATGTATATAAATCAACTAAAAGAGTTTTTGAGTTGGTATCCACACACATCCAACACATATGGCCTCCCCCCCCCGCTTCCTTTTAGTCTTCTAATGGTTGTACACGGGAATTACAATTTAACATCTGCATTTATGAGTCCAATGTATCTTGACCAATCACCCCTTCCAACATTCTCCTCTATCCCTGTACCTCTTTCCCTCCAATCATGTCCCATTTCCCATTATGTATATTGAGTATTATGACTATATATGCCTCCATTCCCTTTTCCATTCATTTACTTCCCCCCCTTCAAACTATGTTTTAGTTTTCTGACATTCATTTTGTCACACTCTCTGTTAATTGTTCCAAGGGTCCCAACAACTAAAGCCTTGAGTTGGCACTTACGATAGGACTACAAAATGGTGTGTTTAGATTGCTACCAGAAACGGGAATTTACCCAATCAAAGGGGCCTTCCACTTCAAAGTGCTTGGGAGCTACAGACTTGTAGCTGTCATTATGCAGACATAATTTTTGGACTTTCCTCCATAGTGGCTCTAGAAGATGTCTCATACTCTTTTGACAAATTTTATTAATGGGTTAAATTTTCATCCTCTAAAAACTGCTGTCATCTGTGGAAACGATCAAAGGATATTTGTCATCCATCAGGTCTAGTGAATTAGGTGAGTAATTCTCTTCTGGGTGAAACAGGAAGTTCACTGCGTGATTTTCTTGTGAAGATGATAAAATTGTCCTAAAATTAATTCCAAAGCCTATGTATAATACAGTTTATATTTTTTTCTTAAAGGTTGGACATTTAAACAGACAGACAGACAGACATACATACATAGGAGTCTGTGTATGTGTTTAAACATATAAAATAAAACGTTATTTTATAGTGATATTTATGGATCTATTTTCATTTCAGGGGTATCACACTAAAATACAATTGTTCTAGGATGTAATTATTAAATGATTGGGAAAGGAAGCATGTAAAATTATTTCATATTAATACAGCTACAGACAGGGGAATAGAAAAAGAATTAAAGAGTAGATTGTCTCAAAAAATTTAGACTATAGCAACCAAAAAGTGAAATGTACTCAGATAGCCCTCAAATACCATTATAGACAATGAATCACATAGAGAAATAAGAAAGACTCAAAACATCCTGCTGGGACAAGCCAAAAAAAAATCATAAGGAAGTTTGTCCTCCATTAGTCTTGTCCTCCATTAGATATGGAGTGCAGGGAGTTAGGGATCTGGAGAAAGAAAGTGATTGGGACCCAAAAGTGGTCTGAGAAGGGTTGAGTGTCAGACAATCATTGCCTTAGTAGGCTTTTATCACACCGATATTCTGTTTCTTTGGCAACTTCTGGGATGAGAGCACTATTATATATGTCTCTAAGTCTGCTGCTAAGAGGTCAGAAGTATTTTCAAAGCCCTGCTCCCAAACCATGGGAGGACCAATTAAGCTTCCATATGTCACAGGTACAAGAAGAGTCTGCCTCCCTGGGAGTTCACTATTGACTTTCATTCCGAGTTATCATATTATGGCTGGCTCCTTTTCGACTGTTCACCAGCTTCGCATAACTTATAGTTCATGATATTGTTTTAGGAAGCTAAAAAAGAATCTTTCCTCTAAAATGTGCATTAGTTCTGTGCTATCTTCTATTAATACTTCTCTTTTTTCCATTTTACCATGGAGACCATCTTATGTTTCCAAAATTACTAGACTAAAAAAATGTGTGTTTTTATATAGTAAACATATTCTGTTTCCCCCCAAGACTCATACTTAAAAACAAAATATACACAATTAAAATGACATGAGAGGGAAAAGTTTAGTATTCTTTTGAGTTAGTTTAGTATCCTTTAAAGTTAATTCAAGTTTTTGATTCCTACTATGGGCAAAGTACTAAGGTGGGAGAAAACCAGAAAGGGGTTGGAGGTCCCAATAGGTTTTATCAGACTTTTATTTCTGCTTTTAGTACTTTTCCACTTCTTTTGGCCTAATGTCCTTAAAAATGTTTTCTAAATTTTAAATTGTCTATCGAGATATATACCTAATGGAAAGTTCACAGCCAATGTTATGTCATAGGAAAAATAGTCACTTAACAGTCCTAATTGAAAATAAAAAATAAAGTTTCTTGTCATTAGCACTGTGGTTGTTAAGTTTAAGAACATGTGTAAGAACTTATGTGTCTAGAATTGTGTTATGCTTTACATTTTCTCTCTCCATAAAGAACAAGAAAAAACAGGTACTTAAGAGAATGAGGTACTCAGGTAAAGAAGAAAAGACAGCACAACACAACAAAGGGAAGAAGCTAATGTCTATGCTTCAAGGAAACGAAAAACAGAAACCAAACCAAACCAAACAAACAGGAAACCCCAAAGAATTTGGTACTGGATAGTAAGAAAGTATAGGGTGAGAGACTGAGATGGTATCAGACAACTAACACGAAACAATGCTAGGTTGTAATAGTTTGCTTCTTGTTGACAAAGTACCTGAAGAAATAGTTGAAAGGGTTTCTAAGCATTCAGCTCATAGTCAATAGATCTCATTGCTCTGAACCAGAGGTAGAGCTGAGCATCATTATTGTGGACGTACATTGTGATGCAAACCTGCCCATTATTATTTCTTCTTCTTCTTCTTCTCCTTCTCCTTCTCCTTCTCCCTCTCCCCCTCCCTCTCCCTCTCCCCCTCCCCCTCCCTCCCCCTCCCCCTCCCTCTCCCCCTCCTCCTCCTCCTCCTCCTCCTCCTCCTCCTCTTCTTCTTCTTCTTTTCTTCTTCTTTTTTTTTGGTTGGTTGTGGGGCTTAAACTCTGGGCCTGGAAGTTGTCTTTCAGCTCTTCAGCTTAAGGCTAGTGGTCTATCATTTGAGCCACAGCGCCACTTCCAAAGCTGCCCATTTCTTGGCAGCTGGTAAGCCGGGAGAGAAAGAAGCCTCTCGGCATGAGAGCTACCCTCCACATGACCTGCCATCAGGCCCCACCCATTCACTTATGAGCTCATAGCAGATTTATTTAGTTGATCAATTAGTACCCTCATAATCCAACCACCTCTTAATGGCTCTATCACCTAGAAGCTGAGACTTCAACAGATAAGCCTTTTATGGGACCTCTTATAGCCAAATCCTAACTTAGGCATGTAATAGTTTTCGATCTTTTAACACATAGCATTTGATCTTGTAATCCTTATAAAAATTAACACGAAGAAAGTAGATCATCCTCCCCTCACAGATGAGGAAAAGGTTCTCAAGTTGACACAACTCAGCTTTTAAACAGAGATGTTGTGAAGAAACCTAAACGCTTTTTGTGTTCAGAAGCCATGTTCTTGGACAAGTCCCTTCCATGAGGAAAGACCTTTCCCACCCCAGCCTGCAGAACCCCTTCGATTCAATAGTCACAATAACATCTAGTATCACCCGGCTTTTTGAATGTCTAACAAGGTGACTTACCTATAAGAAACTGACACTTAGCTGGATGACTGCCAATGTGCTACTGCAATTGTATTTATGCAAGTGATTATTTTCCACTTGGAGAAAGGATTGACCCTGAATGTCAGTATGGCTCCACAGAAAAATGGACTCTGCTTGGTGTCCTTCAGATAAAGATTAAACAGAGGTCTCACCCTTCCCAGCCATTAATGACCTCACAGAACATCACATAGAAGTGGAGGTGTTCACCTCATTCGGCTTCCTCATTCCATATTCTATACCTATGAATAACTTGATCTTTTTCTACTCCAATCTTACCCAGGTTTTTAGGTATTAATTTTTCCTCTTCATTCCCTAACAGTCAGAGAGATGACTGTGGCGATGCAGAATTGTTACTGCATTGCACAATGAAGAAAGTCCATATTTATGATGGAGTTATGAAATATCCTTGGAATTCCCAGGACAAAGATGAGACTTTTTTTTTCTAAACTCAGTATTTGTTTTTATTAGTTCCATGATATAATTTCTTCCTTCAAATTTTATACTTTTGCTCCTTCAACTAATAAATTTGTACCACATATAATATAGAATAAATTTATATAACTATATAAGGAAAATAAATTTAGGAAAAAAGTATATTCTTACCAGTCTTGAAAATGACATCTAAAGTGGCCTGGTTATCTTCATTTTCAGAGCCTCCTTATCATTTATCTAGTATTTTAAGGCTGAGACTAAAACACAAGGCAGTTGGTTTTTTAGCCTCTATAGGCTCAGGGGTTTAGTTTAATGTCAAAGTGCACTGTGAGTGGGAATAAGAAAATCCATGTGAAGTGATAAGTTAGACAAGGGTCTCTGAGCTCTCAAGATAGAAAGAACTAAGGGGCAGAGCAAAGGCTGGGTTTTGTGAGTATGATCAAGATGATTATAACATCTACCATTTGTATGAGTCTTGTAGTTTCACAAGACCCTCAGAACACGTGATTTAATCCCTACATTTATGTGCACCCTCATGAAACAGTTAAGCAGACATCTACATTTCGTGATATCCTCTGTGTTTTGAATATATATGAAACCTCAGCTGATGTCTCCAGGAACTTTATGCCTGAGGAGGAAGACATATTTAAAGTAACAATTACAAATACATTTATCTAAAAGCCTCTATATTATGAATGCAACGTATTATGAAAGAATAATGGGTAAACTGAATTGAGTTGAAGTATTCTACTTAAATGTGGGGTGAGAAATGGGCAACCCAGAGGAACATCTGTTGAGAGTCAATGAAGCAGGGGTTACTGCTCTTAAATGTAAGGCTGCAGTTTATCAAGAGTAAAATACACGAGGAAAGAAATACTCTGTGATCCATCCACCCATCCATTATCCACCC